GTGCAGATACTCGACAGCCGTGCACCCTCCCGCCACACCAGTGTGTGTGTGTGCAGATACTCGACAGCCACGCACCCTCCCGTGCAGATACTCGACAGCCGTGCACCCTCCCGCCACACCAGTGTGTGTGTGTGCAGATACTCGACAGCCGTGCACCCTCCCGCCACACCAGTGTGTGTGTGTGCAGATACTCGACAGCCACGCACCCTCCGTGTGTGTGACCGGCAAGCATCACAGCCACCACCAGCAGGCCAGATAAAGACCGGCCAGCGTCACGACGGTCTTCCTGGCGCCTGACAAAGGCTGCATTCTGCACACACACGCACAGACACACAGAGCCTCTTGCAGTTACTGCCTGGGCTGAATCCCTCCGTCCCTCCCTCTGTGTCTGTCTGTCTGTCCGTCCGTCCGGTTGTCGCCAACCAACTGAGTGCATTCAGTCCGCTCACCTGATGGATGTTGCTTCCGGCTGCTGCTGGGAGGGAGGGAGGGAGGGAGGGAGAGGAGCGCCTTGGCCTGCCTGCGTGCTTCCGTCGCCGACAGACAGGTGCCAATTAGGCAGCGTGGCCTGCACACATACGCACACATACGCACACAAACATCGAAGGGTTCAGTACTGGCGCTTTTAAATGAAGAGGGGAGGGCGTATATTATAAGCTCGCATCGATCGTCGTCCTTGGGGTTTTTCCCATTGCAGGGGTGTGAAGGGGCGACTGGCGTGCTCAGCCACACCCTACTGATGCACGGGATATACGACTTTGTCAAATTGGCGCGTGTGACAGCAGTGGGAGACGCTGAGTGTGCGCATCTCAGAGAGAGGACGGGGCGGCCGTCTGTCCGTGCACACCCACCTTATTTGCCCCTGCACAAAGACGACCCGTGTCGGGCGGCCGCTGGCGGTCCTGTTGGTGTGCGAAACAGCCCCGTGTGTGCACTCGGCGCTGAGAAACACATGGGCAAGTGTGTCGGTCAGGCGCACACAGACAAACCCACAGGTGAATGACCATCAAGGCTGACCACAGACAGCGTCACTGTATATGCCCGGGTCAGGCACCCTCTTGCCGTCATTCTCACGCCCCAGTCGCCCCCCTCCGCGCACTCACCGTCGAGGCCGACATGGGTGCGTCTTTGTGGTGACAACAACCTGGGTGTGGACGAATCGACAAGGGCACTCCAGCCAGTCCATTAGACCTTTCCCTATACCTTTGTCTTACCAGGAATATTTTTCAACGTTCCGACCAGGGTCCACCTCCACTTCTCAACCCTCCACCTACCTCCCCATCTCTGCATTCTCCAGACATCCACACACAATCCGCCAACAAAAAGACCGGCACGCCTCTACAAAAGACCGGCACGCCTGTTACCTTGTCAGGCAGTCACCTGCCGTCATTTTGCTGCCCCAAACACCCACACACGGCCACTCCACGCTGAGAAACACATGGGCAAGTGTGTGGGCAATTTCGTGATGGGCCAGCCTGCCTGCCTGTCTGCCTGTCTGCCTGTCTGCCTGCCGGGATGATGGATGGATGAATGGATGGATGGATAATATGGGCGTTGAACTGTTGGACGGGATATTATTCAACTGCATGGTCTAGTGACCCCCTAGTAGTCCAGCTAGGTCAACCAAAAATGTCCAATTAGTATGCTGCCACGGTGGCCACATGGACCAACACACACACCCACACACACGCACACACAGACACACACACGGATTGCAAAAGAGGCCGCGAATGAATCGATCATCAAATCACACACGAGCTAGTGTCTGTATACCTCCCTCCCTCCGTGGCGTCACTCACTCACCCCGATCGACCCATCCAGAGAGAGAGAGAGAGAGACGCACACACACACACACACACACACCTGCACAGACTAAGGTGCTGCACATAAGACACATAACAGCTCATCCATTCATCCATTCATTCACCGAGCCTGTTTGACTCTGCGTGCTCATGGGACTGTAATTGTATGAGTGTCACGGACACACAGACGAGCGTTACGGTTAATGCAAGCTGCCCCCCCCCTCCATTCATTTGCTCATGTGGGTCACTCAGTCAGGTGCCCAGGTTCTCGAGGTTAATGCTGAAAGGCTTCATCATCTCGCCGCACACCCTGATGACGTCAGTGCCCAGCACTCCGCCCAGAGCGGCATAGCCAGGCGGGTCGGCGAAGAAGTTCGGCGACTGCCATTCGTTCAAGTGCACCAAAGACACAGACAGACAGACAGACCGGCGATGAATGACATGAGTCAAGTGGAACAGTCCTCGTTCGTATCTGACGCACGTACCTCAACTCTGAAGTTGAGAGGGGGCGAGCAAACCGGCCCGCTGATTTTGTCAGCGAGGTCCAAGGACAGCTTGGCTACGGGGGGAGGGATGACGTCCAGGGGGCCGCCAGCCAAATTGCAATAGTCGTATAGCAGCCTCAGTGCGTCACTCGCACGCTGGCACACCAGCCTCCCTGCCCAACACACACACACGTGACCTGGTTGATGCTTGATGGATGACATACGTGCACTGCAGTGCAGCTCACCTCCTGGCGACCCGTCAGGCAGCGTGTCGACACCGCAGCAATTGCCGTTGGTGCCGATGTCCGATGGGTCGCATGGCGTCAACAGTTTGTCACAGAAGCCCTCCTCGGCGGTGCCACGCGACTCACAGAAGACCCTCTCCTGCCCGTCAAATTCGACGACCCTCTTGTCGAAAGCACAGTTGCCGCCCAGCACCTCGCAGTCCGGACACTCGGCCGACTCCTCGCTGACGGCAGGCGGGAACAGACAACCGCCTGGAACCTGAACCAAAACAATCACGGTACACACGGACAAGAGACATACAAGTGGATGTGTATTGCCTTACCGGTGAAGCAAAGGCCGTCACGATGCATTCCGCCCCGACAGCCACGCCACACCAGTGTGTGTGTGTGCAGATACTCGACAGCCGTGCACCCTCCCGCC